ACATATGACCATATAAGATGGTGTTAAGTGAAATGAATCCCAAGATAGGGACACAATTTGTTTTTCCTTTCTTGCTATTGTTTTTAATGTATCAAAAATGTACCATGTGATTTTTTTGTTTCTCTTGTATGTTCTTCCCACATGGCATAACCCTTGTTTTCACTGTATTTGATGTCGGTGCCCTGCATCTTGTATATACATTTTTCTAACTTGGGGAAGGGAAGGGAAATAACAAAATGCTGAAACAAGGATCCACGTTGACCCATGGTAACAATGAGATGTACAAGACACTCGGTAGAAAACTAACTGTACAACTTGGAGGGGAAGGTGGGAATTGGGGAGGTGGTGAGGGAAGAGATGGTGTAGGGGAAAAACAAAGGAGGAGGTAACAATGCTGGATATGAAATGTACGCCTTACCTTACTCATGTAACTGTAACCTCTCTGTACAGTATTTTAGAATAAAAAACATAAAAAACTAATAAATAAATAAAATGATGGCATGGTGTTTCCATATCATTTATACTTTTTATCTTTTAAAAAATTTTATTCATTGTAAAGATGCTGTACAGAAAGAAGGGTTACAGTTACATGAATAAAGCAATGGTCACATAGCTTGTTGAGCATTGTTAGCCCTTCCCTCTTGTTCTCCCACTATCCCTTCCCTCCCCCACCTCCCTCACTCCCCCTCACCCCACCCTGCCCAAAGTTGTAAAGTTGGATTCTGTTTTGTGGGTATGATTGTTGCAATGGGTCAACCTGTGTCCTTGTTTCAGCATTTTGTTTTCTACTTCCCCTGCCCAAATTAGACACAAGATGCAGGTTACCAAATTCAAGTACAGTGACAGCAGGGTAGAGAACATACAAAGGAAACAAAAAAACATCACTTATACATTTAAAACAACAGCAACAAGGAAAGACCTCTTGCGTGTGTGTGTGTGTGTTTGTCCGTCATGGGGATTGAACTCTGGGCTTGGACGCTATCCCTCAGTTGTTCAGCTCAAGGCGAGCGCTCCACCGCTTGAGCCACAGTACCACTTCCAGTTTCTAGTGGTTAATTGGAGGTGGTCTCACAGACTTTCCTGCCTGGGCTGGCTTTGAACCGTGATCCTCAGATCTCAGCCTCCTAGGTAGGATTACAGGCATGAGCCACCAGCTACATGCGTTAAATTTTTTTAGTGTTTGCAATTGAACCTGGGCTAGTCCATGTGAGGCAGGTATCCTGCCACTGAATCCTTTGTTTTTACTTCAATTATTTTGTATGTATTCATTTATACATTTTGTCATTTCCCACTTTTGAGGTATACTCTGTGTACATCTACATATGCATATAGGTACACATATTTATCATACCAGTACATATAATTGGAATACATTTCCCCAACATGGAAGCCAGGCCTGCAGTTTGTTAGTGGGGCTCTTGCATGCATTCCCTGCTGGTAAGGCGGACTCACCTGGGTTTAGAAATACTCCTGCCATCCCTTTGTTGATCTCCCTGGGCTGCCTAGCATGTTATTTCCAGCACTTATTATTGTTCTTTCTGGGGAGGAACAGGGAGACTTTTTGTGCTGTGTTTGCTGGACCAGAACTTCCCTTTTGTTTTCCTAATGTCCTATTATTAGATATTGAAGTAGCATCCCACTAAGAAAGTAGTCTCTTGTTTAATTCTTCATTTTCCACGTATATACATATGTAAACTCTTCATAAAGACCAGATAAGAAACAATTTTTTTTTCTTCTGGAGCAATCGTGCTTATGTGTAGAATTACAGAACATCTGAGACTTAGTGAACAGGGGCTTTGTGTCTGCACAGTGTCCTAGTTAAGTGTCATGCCTGCTCCTATCCTCCAGTTAGAACTCTGCCAGCCTCTATAGCAGATTTTTGGTCTCGTACATGCCCCTCCATTGGACAGGGAAATGTTAAGATGACCCATACCCTTCTCCTCAGCCAGAGTTAAATGCCCACTAAAGCCCCCCAGCAGCACTGAGGAAACTGCCTAATGCTACAGGCATCAGAGACAATACATCTTTGAAGAAAACAGCCTTATTAGTATGTAGGCAGCTTTTCAATGCAGATAAATAAAAGGTGGCCAAACAGCTTGTTTCTTGTAGAAGTGTTGGTTTGAAGTTATTATCTAGTCTCCAAAATGAACTTGTCTAGGGATCCAGCTCCTCTGTCATGTTTTTTTGTTCAAGTTATTAAAGGTTTAAGGTTGGTTTAAAGTAAAAATTTTTAGGTTTTATTAATGTCAATCAAACCTAGATTTTTAAAAAGAAAACATCACTTTTAGAAGTCGGGAAATAATTGGATAAGGAAGTCAGTTCAGAGAATTTAAAGGAATGTAGTTTGATATTCATGTGAAAAGCAAAATCTTTTAAAAAATGACTCCTCTAGTCTCCCCTTCCCCCAAGATTTTTTGCCTAATTTCCAAATATATCCACTTTGTTGGTATTACTTTTAAGAAAATAGAGAAACATCTCAGTTGGAATGTTTAAGTTGAATTCATCCTGCTGATAGGATTTTGTTTTATGGTGTTGATTCGATGTCTTTTTATAAGACCTTTATTTATTTTTTAATGTGGAGAGCCTATTTGTTGTGACTATCTGAGGCCTGGGCACAGGTGTGCAGGCTGACTAGTTGGTGTCAAGCCCACGCTTGGCATTAGTTGAGGACACAGGGCCGTGGACGCTGACCGAGGCAGCAAGGTGATGACACAGGCCAATCAACAAGGCCATGTGAAAGCCAGGCTTTAAGAAGATAATTGGCTCATCATGGTCTTAGGGGGCAGAGTAGGAGCCTGCTTGATGCTTTCAGAGCTCAGGCCTGGTGAACTCATGCCTGTAATCCTAACTACTCAGGAGGCTGAGAGCTGAGGATTGAGGTTCAACACCAGCTGGGGCAGGAAAGTCCATGGAACTCCTATCTCCAATATACCACTAAAAATGCCAGAAGTGGAGCTATGGCTCAATTAGTAGACAGCCTTGAGCTAAAAATGACAAGGAAAAGCACCCATGTTCTGAGTTCAACATCTAGTACAGAAGAAAGAAAGAAAAGAAAGGAAGGAGAGAAGGAAGGAAGAAGGAAGGAAGGAAGGACAGAAGGAAGGAAGGAAGGATGGAAGGAAGGAAGGAAGGAAGGAAGGAAGGAAGGAAGGAAGGAAGGAAGGAAGGAAGAAAGGAAGGAAGAAAGGAAGGTTGGTTGCCAGAGGTACTTATGCAGCTTCCCACAGCCACCCCTCCATTTCAAGGCATTCCTATGGTTGAACTCCAACAGTTCCTGCAGATAAATGTTAGAGTGGCTATGCTCTTCCAGATGGGACAGACAAGAGATGATCAGATCCAACATGGTGGAGTGATGGGAACGTATTTGCCAAAGCTATTGTCCTTTTTCCCTATGCTTGCCTGCACCGTCCTGCCCATTGTGGCCAGCTTTGCTTGCTGCTCCCTGAGCAGCCCCTGCTGCTAGGGCCATGTGATGATGGTGGTGAGGATGGCCAATGATGGTCATCATGGCCAGGGATGGTCATGCCCAAAGCTACAGCAGGAGGAAATGGGAGGCAGGGGATTAAACACCAGCTATGAGGGCCTAACTTGTAAGTTCAATGTGGCTGCATAAAACGGGGAAAAAAAACTGTAGAGAATGTATAGCAAAAAAAAGAAAAAGAAAAAAAAAGAAAGAAAGGAAGAAAGGAAAAAAAAGAAAGAAAGAAAGAAAAAGAAAAAAGCAGAAATAAAAATATCTGTCTGTCCCTTTGATTTCTTATTTTAGCAAAGTGACAGAAATCAAAGAGAGTAGCTTCTAGGTCTGAAAGGGAACACATCCAGTGCAGTATAAATAAATAACACAATTGTATTTCAATTCTGTCTTTTACTGATGCCTTCCAGCTTTCTGAAGACACTGCATTCTCCTCTGCTTTGCTAGTGCTCTCCCACACTCTTTCAAACCACCCTGTCTACTGTTTTTGAAGTTTCCTTCATTTTGAAGCCAAATACCAATGCTGGAAGAATATTTACACAAAGGTGCTACTGTGCCTCTCCACCCACCACATTTCCAGATTTACCAAGGGGACAAAGTGATTCTGTCAGTCCTCAGAGTAACAGAAACTTTTACCCAGCACTGCTTAGGATGTGTGTGAGGTTTTCATATGCTTTGGGGGTAAAGCATGATGCCCATTTCCCATCTTCTCATCACAAGACAGGGCACCCCTCTGAAATAGTTGTAGGACATGTTTGCTGGGCAAGCACAGTGAATGGAAATGTCAGTACTGGAGCTTTATACTACATACTTGGTTGCTGAACCTCAAGTTGGGGTCTGGGAGAATAACGTGTGTGTGTGTGTGTGTGTGTGTGTGTGTGTGTGTGTGTGTGTGTGATGGGGATTTGAACTTTGAGTTTCTTGCTTGTGATAGAAGCACCTTATTGCTTGAGCCATGCCTCTAACACTTACTACCTGATTATCCTTTGAGACAGGGCTTGCTTTTTGCCTGGCATCAGCCTGGACCATGACCTTTCTATGTATACTTCCTGCCATCACTGGGAGAACGGGCATTTGCTACCCCACACAGCTTTTTCTGCTGAGATGAGGTTTTGTCAGTTCTTTTGCCTGAATGGGCCTGTAACTGGTGTCCTCCTAGTCTCAGCTTCCCATATTAGTTAGGACGACAATCCTGTGCCATGTGCCCAGCTATTAGTTGAGATGAAGTCTCCTGAACTTTCTGCCTGGGATGTCCTCTAACCACTATCCTCCTGATCACTAACTCCCAAGTAGGATGACAGATATGAGCCAACAGCCCTGGCCATAAAATTGTCTTTTAAAATGTACTGTTGCAGAGCACTAGATGTTTTATCATTTAAAAGTTGTGATTGCTTACTATATTTGTTTTAAGGCAGTGGTCTAAACTTTTTATATCAATAATGTATAATTTATGATAATGTTGACTTTATCATAAATTATTGGTGTAATACATGTCTTGAGAATGTGTTTTTGTTGATTTATTCTGCAGTATGGCATGCAGCTGTACCAGAATTACATGCACCCATACCAAGGTAGAAGTGGATGCACTCCTCAGAGTATCTCACCTATGGTAAGGAACTCCTGTTTGGATTTGGATTTTATATTCGCATCAATTAGTTTAACATAGATTGTACTACAAATGCATGCTGTAGTACATTTACATTATATCCTTTTGGTAAAGTAAAGTGACTGTGGTATGATTTTGATACGATGTGCTATTGAATTTTCTCTTGGATTTTACATAGGAGCAGCCTAGGTGACAAAAATCACTGTAATGTGTTGAAAGTATTTAATTGAGATTCATGGTGTTCATTAGATGCCATTTTTAATTACTTAGAGATGGTAAAAAGAAAGGAGATAAAGTATACAAAATCTTTGTATGATATGGTGGGCCATTATGACACTGAAGATCTGAAGATTAGATCTGAATAAGATACATGTGTAGAATCTTTTTTATGACATTACAGGTTGTGTTTTCTTAACTGTTGGTCTTGGTTGCAGGTTTATTTTAGTGTTGAAAACTACTATAAACATGCAAATGGCTTAGAATTTCAGAAGCTGCAGTATTCTCACAGGAGCTCATTTGTATTCTGGTTTTCTAACAATGATTCTTTTTTAAAGTTCTAGGTCCCTAAAAAGAGACTGCTTTCCAGGAAACTCTAAAACTACAAGCCAAAATATAAGTCGTGCATTATTTTAATGACAACACTGCTTCACAGATTCTACTCAGTGTAATTCGGGTATTGTTTTACAGACTCACGTATATACATCTTTTACCATCTTTAGGACCTAATTTTAAATTCCTGTGTCTTAACACAAGAAATTTATTTTTGAACTTAAAGTTTATGTTCTGTGATTTTTGTGGCTTTTTAATACTGAGTATGTTAGAAATTAAGGTATCTGTGCCTGTATTACAAATCAGTTCAGGTGCGTTTTTGAAACCAGCATTTTCTACATCGGTTGAAAATCAGCTCTTCATGGCTGTGACCAATGAAGACACATTTGTCCCCTATATAACGCTGCAGATGAAGTGCTTCATTCTAGAAATGAGGCATGAAATAACATTGATTAGGAAGCCTGATAGAAGATGTGGAAGGAAAACTTCAATTTTTGTCATCATGTCCCTTTATCAAAGAATAATTTTGCATCATTGTAGCACAAGATTTCAAAGCCTTAAGATAAGAAACTAAGGAAACCCATGAAGTTTTGTTAAATAATAACTTTAAGGTAGACATTTTACTAGTTTGTCAGCTTTCACTTATCTTTCAATCCATATGTATATAAAAAGAATATTGAATTTTATTATCTTAATCCTTCTTAAATCCCTCCAAATTTCCTTTAGAGTCTAAAGTGATTAAGATGATCCTTTTAATAGCAGAAAGAATTTGGAGACAATTATTGTTTAGTTCTTTCAATTAATATGAACCAAGTACTTTCCATTTGCTTCCTTGTCATTGAATGAAAAATATGATAAGATTCTTTCCTTCTTCACTGAATGTGGACCTGTTGGCAATGAACACATGTCCGAGAGTTTGATCGGTGTGGTTTGACTCAGTCAACATATTATGGAGGGTGACACACTCTCTAGTGAGTCCCAGTAGAAATCGGGCGGGAGGAGGAAGTTTGGTAATTTTGTAATGAGAATGTGTGTGGTTTGAGAATTACAATTGGACACAGAAGCACTTGCCTATGTGTGTGTGTGTGTGTGTGTGTGTGTGTGAGAGAGAGAGAGAGAGTGTAAGAGTGTGTGTGTATGTGTGTGTGTGAGTGTGTGTGTGTGAGTGTGTGTGTGTGTGTGTGTGTGTGTGTGTGTGTACTTGTTTTCATTTTCATGGAGGGAACATGAATGCTTTGACCCATCTGTTTACTTTGGTATCTGTAGAGGACCCCGCTCTTCTGGGTTTTGATGGAAAAGTTGAGGACTGAGGAGGTGCTAGCATCTCTCACCTACTTCTGCTGCTCCTGTTTTTCATGCAGGATCTGTGTCCAGGGAGTCACAAGAAAAGGAGAGACACTGTAGTCATATATCCAAGGAATGATACTCTCTTCTAAACTGCATACATTTGTGAAAGGAAAGGAGTTTTCCTACATAACAACCATGTTATTATCCCATATCACAGTGACATGGTGCACCCCCAAAATGAGAAGCACCCTCAGGCATTTTACACTTTTTAGGGGGAGGGTAAAGAAGTGATTTAGCCAGAGGATTCTATTCTCTGTTGATGTGATCCTGGATAGAGGGAGGAACTTGAGAAAAATCTACTCTTTTTTTTTTTTTAATTTAAATTCCTTTCTTTTGACACTAGGCTGGATCTTCTTTTTTTTTAATTGGGAGAATAGAATACCATACAGAGGAGTTACAATTACATGGGCAAGATAACGAGTACATTTCTTATCAAGCATTGTTGCCTCCTCTTTGTTTCCCCTTCTGATCCCTTCCCATATCCCCCCACCTCCCACCTGATCCTCCCCCCCCCACCAAAGTTGTAAAGTTCATTTTTTGACATAATGACTTATACATCTCATTGCTGCAATGGGTCCACCTATCCCTAGCTAAACGATTTGTTTTTGCCCTTCCCCTCCACAAATTATACCAACATCAAATACAGTGAAAGCAGGGGTTATACTGTGGGGGAGGGACATACAAAGCAACATAGAAATCATCTTATAAATATGTTAGAAACAATTGCATTAAAGAAAAAAAAATTGAATACTTATCTTGGGGTTCACTCCCCTAACATCAATTTATCTGACCTTTTCTGCTTGACTCAGACATATATACTAGTTATTGCAAATAAGGGAAACCATGGGATCTATTTTTCTTTGGGCCTGGCTTACTTTACTTAATATAATTTTTTCCAAGCCTTTCCATTTCCTAAGAAATGGGGCAATGTCATTCTTTCTGGTGGAGGCATAGAATTCCATTGTGTATATATCCCACATTTTCTTGATCCATTCATCTACTGAGGGGCATCTGGGTTGCTTCCATATCTTAGCTATGGTAAATAATGCTGCAATAAACATAGTTGTGCTGGTAGCTTTAGTATGGTCTTGTTTGTGATGATTTGGGTAAATGCCCAAAAGTGCGATTGTTGGGTCATAGGGGAGCTCTTTGTGGAATCCCTTGAGGAATCTCCATACTGCTTTCCAAAGTGGTTGAACAAGTTTACATTCCCACCAACAATGCAGTAAGGTTCCCTTCTGTCCACATCCCCTCCAGCATCTGTTGTTATTAGAGTTCTTGATTATAGCCATTCTAACTGGAGTGAGGTGGAATCTCAATGTTGTTTTTGATTTGCATTTCTTTTATGGCTAGAGAAGTTGAGCATTTCTTCATGTGTCTATTGGCCATCCTTCTTTCCTCTTCAGAGAAGTTTCTCTTTAAGTCTTTAGCCCGCTTATTTATTGGCAGTTGTTTCTTTGAAGATTTGTTTTTGGGAGATTTAATTTTTTGAGTTCCAGGTATATTTTAGATATGAGACCCTTGTCCATTGTATGGCTAGTGAAGATCTTCTCCCAATCCATGGGCTTTCTATTGATCTTGCTCGCTATGTTCTTTGCAATGCAGAAACGGTGCAATTTCATGCAATCTCATTTGTCCAACCTTTCTTTGAGTTGTGTTTCTGGGTCTCTATTAAGAAAATTTCAGCCTGTGCCAAGGAGACCTAGGGTTTCTCCTATTCTATCCTGTAATGTTTTCAGAAGTGAAGGACCTCTATCATGAAAACTTTAAAAATCTGAAAAAGGAAATCAAAACAGAACTTAGAAAGTGGCAAAAACTCCCATGCTCCTGGATTGGAAAGATCAACATCATGAAAATGGCAATACTTCCCAAGGCTATCTACAAATTCAATGTGATACCTAACAATATTCCAACCTCATTCTTCAATGAAATAGAAGAGGCAATCCAAAAATTCATATGGAACAATAAAAGACCCCGAATAGCAAAAACAATCCTTAACAGAAAGAACAGTGCTGGAGGAATATGAATACCAAATTTCAAACTCTACTACGAAGCCATAGTAATCAAAACAGCTTGGTACTGGCACAAGAACAGACCTCAGGACCAATGGAATAGAATTGAAAACCCAGAAATGAACCTAAAGACCTATAGCCATCTAATCTTTGATAAGGGAGCTAAAAAAATAGAATGGAAGAAAGACAGCCTCTTCAGTAAATGGTGCTGGCAAAATTGGTTAATCACTTGTAGAAAACTAAAGCTAGATCCTTACATATCACCCTGCACCAGAATCAACTTCAAATGGATCAAAAACCTCAGAGTCAAAACTAGGCTGAATCGTCTAAGCCACTGCCATTTCTTCCATGTTCCTTTCACTGTGCTTCATGGAAAAACCATGGATAAGACAGAGCTAGTCAGTACCGCTTTTATCACAGACTATTTGTATGACTGGTCCAGTCACACAAATGTAAGGTAAAGATAAAATGGATATCTAGGATCCATTTTATGAAGCTATGAAGAGTACAATAGCTAAGGAACTGCTGTGCCTCTTGCGAATGGCAGAGCTTCTAGGTTGCCTTAGAGGCTTCAACTGCATCTAGGTGGAGTAGCATTTTGCATACATGACTCTGCTCCAGTGGGTGGATCTGATTTCAGAATTCGTGACCTGTTCTTTCTTGAAAAGGAATCTGTGTTTCTATGACTGTGGAAAATTTTCTTAAGGTCTGTCCTTTTCATCCCTTAGAAAGAAAGAACTAAAAAGGTAGTGAGGGGGATATTTGACAAATACAACTAATTCACAGGATCATTTCAATAATTCTTAATGTTACCAAAATTACATTCCTGCGTGAAAAAAAAATCAAGCTGGAATGACCTTGTCCGTTTCTTTGTCCACTGAAGGTATGCTATGAATTTTTTATCCCCCACATGCCATTCAGTGGAAAATATTTGCTGTATTTCCGTGTGTTCCCTTGGTGTAGTTAATGCAGCAAATGAAATAGCTTCCTACGTGACTCAGAGTCTCCCTCCCTCCAGCTGAGTTGTTGTAGGATGCTGTGTGATCTCATTTTATGTTCTGGCCTGCTGTAGTCAATAATTTTTTTTAAAAAAAGAACAACTGGTAATGTATTTATGTTTCTTTCCTTAATAGTATTCTCATGTTATCAGGAACTTGAGACTGCAGAAGCCATCTTGGCCTGTGAGTCCAGAGAAACTGTAAGCATAAAGCTAGAGTTAGGACCAAGGCTACTCTGAGGTTTGGACAGGAGGATGCTTTGATTGAGGTTGGCGAAGCACAGGTCTACCTGAATGGCCCACATCCCAGCAACGGAGACCATGCGTGAGAAGAGCACAGAAGCTGTGACAACCAGTAGAGATTACAGAGCCAGCATCTGTCTGGAAAGAGGAGCTCTCTGTTACCAAGGCTCCTGTAACAAATGGGAGATTGCATGCTGGATCTGGAGAAAGCTAGATAACTATAGATGAGCCATAACAAGCTTTGGGGATACTGTTACATAGCTGGAAGAAACAATAGCAACTGCTGATAAAGTGAAATGTGGAATGGAAAGGAATCATTCATTTTTTTTTTCTGATGGAATAATAAAGATTTGTTGTAGTCAGTATTCAGTGGTATAACCCAAATGTCTCCTAATGGAACTTTGCTCATTCTTTTACCATTATAACTACCATTATAATTGCCCTTTGTTTATTAATTCATGAATAACAACTATTGAGCATTTTTTCCTTTTTTGGCAGAGTTATAAGTTTCTTCATATTGTCCAAAATGAGTGAAAGGTTTTCTCTTTTCTTCTTGTAGGGCTGGGGATGGAACCTGGGGCCTTGGGGATGATAGGAAATTTCTCTAAAGCTTGTTTTTAATTGTTGTTTTGTTTTCATTTCTTTGTTTTTTGCCGATGTGGAGGCTTAAACTCAGGGCTGGTGCTCTCATTTGACTTCTCTGCTCAAAGCGGATACTCTACCACTTAACCCATGCCTCTAGTTCTCTCTGCTTAAGGGGTAATGAGTCTCATCCACATCCTCCAATCTCAGCCTCCTAAGTAGCTAGAATTACAGAGGTGAATCACCACTGCCTACTTAGCTCTTGGCTTTTTGTGACCTGAGACAAGGTATGGCCGTCTAACTCAGACTGGCCTAGGACTAGGACTAGCCACATATTCTAGGTTGACTATGAATTCACTACCTCTTGCCTCCACCTCCCAGTTGCCTGACTACAGAACTTGCCCAGTGCCAAGTAAGACAATTGACACAAGGTTCTGCCAGCCAGCTCTTTTACAGAATTCATGACTTCCTGTAGGGCTGCATAGCTTTAAAAAGATGGCAGAAAAGGTCAGCTAAGATGATGTGAAGTGAAGTGAACCCCAAGATAGGGACACAAGTGGTTTTTTCTTTCTTGCTGTTGTTTCTAATGTATTTATAAGGTACCATGTGATTTTTTTTTGTTGCTTTGTATGTCTTTCCCCCATGCTATAACCCCTGTTTTCACTGCATTTGATGTTGGTATAATTTGGGGAGGGGAAGGGAAAAAAACAAAATGTTTAAATAGGGATACAAGTGGACCCATTGCAACAACGACATGTACAAGACACTATGTTGAAAAATGAACATTACAATTTAGGTTTAGGTGGGGGCGGGGGAAGGGGAGGGGGGAGGAGGTGTAATTGAGGAGGTGGGAGGGAAGGAATGTTAGGGGAAAAACAAAGGAGGAGGCCACAATGCTTGATGAGAAATATACTCATTACCTTGCTCATATAACTGTAACCCCTCTGTACAGTATTTTCACAATAAAAATCTTATTTAAAAAAAAAGATGGTTGTAGACCATGCAGGCCTCAATCAAACAAAAATAAGAACTATATCCAGATGTTGGATAGTTTACTTTCACCTCAATGAATGGGAAAATAAGTCATTAGCCAAAAGTCGATCATTTATTTGAAGGTGTCATTGGTTTCATGTCACGCCCTTTGTCAGGAAGGCTTAGTACCTAGCCTTCCATTTGTCTGTGTAGCCCTGCACAAGGTGGGAACAGGTGCCAGGTTCCAGCGGGCTAATACTTGGAAACCTAGCTACTCAGGAGGCTGAGATGAGAGGGTCATAGTTTGAACACAACCTGGGCTGAAATGTCTGTGAAATACATATCTCCAGTTAATCACTAAGAAGCTGGAAGTAGAGGTGTGGCTCAAGTGATAGAGTTCCAGACTTGAGCAGAAAAAACTAAGGTAGAGTGCTCAGGCCCTAAGCATAAACCCAGTCAGGCACAGGGGAAAAAAAAAAGAGATTGTGTTCTCCTATTAAATAATAGAAATAATAATATTGTAAAGTTGTCCAAATTATTATTCCATTCCATTTCATTTTCTAAATAAGATGAAAGTTGATATGCTGACCTTAAAAATACTTATTTTAATGTGCTTCATTATAAGACTTTGAATAAACTTTCTAAAGAAATGAGTGCCAATGTAAATTACAGCTTGCATATATCTTGAATCTTGTAAAATAGTTTTATATGTAAGTGGATGAGCTATTTAATTGACAATGAAGGTATCTGAAATATTAGTAGGGAGAGGAGTTCAGGACTAGTGTTTTTAACCAGAAATAGTTATGCTTTGGTATCAGTTTATTATCTTTAAATGATTGTACAAAGGAGTTGCCATTTAACAAAGAAGTTATGAATACAATGCCTCTTGATCAGCGACACACCTTTCAACATTCTCAGCTCCCTTCATCACACCCCTTCCCTTACATTTCTTAATTTTGTAGTATGTACAATGCTTTTTAAAACTGGATTTCCCCCCCTCCCACCTCCCCATTTCCTGCCTTTGTTTGTCCACCCCTCTTCTTGGCTCAGTCCCTCTTCTCTTGCAGGTACTCATCTCTTGGTGCTTATTTTGTTAGTTACAGTTTTGCCATCTTACTAGAGAAAATACAAAAGAGGTCTCTTTCAGGAGAAAGATACACTTTGTTTTAAAGTTTTCATCTTTTTATGCAGTACTTACATCACTTACCTTAATAAATACTAACTTATTCTATGAAAATATGTTATAGGACTGTTTAATCCCACATATGCATTTGAACTTCTGAATCTTCTGACAGACTCTTTGGGACTAGTATATTGCCAGGAAAATCATGGAAAGATCCCATTCAAACATATTTCCATGGTTCAACTGTTTTGTCTTTTTTTTTTTTTCCAGAGAAGCATATCAGAGAATTCCCTGGTAGCCATGGACTTCTCAGGTCAGAAAAGCAGAGTGATAGAAAATCCCACTGAAGCCCTTTCTGTGGCAGTTGAGGAAGGACTTGCGTGGAGGGTACTGATAGTTTCATAGTCTTCTAAATTGTTGATGATTTGCATTTGCTTCACCCAAGAAGTTGAGATTTGTTTTCCCCTTCTTTGCTCAGAAGAAAGGATGCTTACGCTTAGGCAATCACGGCAGCCCCACGGCCTCCTCACACAGCTCTGCCACGAGCCTGGGTATGTTCGTTCTCAGTCGTTGTCACTGAGAGGTAGATGAATGTCCCTGAGATGTGGTGGCATAGGTGGAAGGTAGACTGGGAGGAAGAGTTCATGTCCAACAAACCCTTTTGTTCCTCTTACATTTCATGTCTTCAGCGATCCATCGGTCCCAGCCATGGTTTCACCACAGAATCTCTAGGGATGAAGCTCAGAGACTGATTACTCAGCAAGGGCCTGTGGATGGGTAAGTTTGATGCTTTTTGGTTTTGGCTGGCAGATAATTGGATTTATCCTAAAACAGTTATTCAACATGCATTAAGAGAAAAGTCTCTTAAGAGACTCTTACCTACAGTGAACCAGCCAAAAGACAGGAATAAAGCTCAAGAGATAGAACACCAGCTTTGAGTGAAAAAGCTAAGGGACAGCACCCAAGCCCTGAGTTCATATCCCCATACTGGTACAAGAAAGCAACAACAACCAAGTCTGTCCTCTAGACCTCGCATAAAATGGAAGTGCCTTTGATGTATAGAGGTAGTTATTATTGTATTCCTCCCACAATACCGGTGTGTGCTTCTTGTGTTTATATTAAGGAATATATAACAGGATAGGATTCTTCATTTCTTACCTATCAGTATTATACTGTGTCAATTCCAACATCTCAGATATTCATGTATGATGGAAAAGGTAAGCCTGTTTTGGAGATCACCATGTTGATTAGAACATATAGTTAATACAATTCCAGAATATTCTCCATATTATGGCATTATTCCTCATAATTTTGGGAGGAGTATGATGCAAAATAGAATAATTAAAAAGCATTTTCTCATACATTTTGAATATCTGATAACATTTTTCCCTGTCTCTATATATCCCTGTCTCCCTTTCTATAATTTTAATAGCTTAAAAGAATACAGATCTATGAAAAAGAATAGTTGGTGATGATATTTGTCTTTTTTAATGGGGTGCTGCGGGTCACAGAAGACTAAGATATATTAGGACAGATGTGTAGTCTGAAGATGGAAATGGCTCAGTGTTTCAGCTTCTTTGGAGAATGAGTTGGGAAGCTATATTGAAGTTTGGGTAAGGAATGGGGCCAGTACAGTTTAAGCATGAGATGATGGGAGCTTTTGTCTTCAAAGGATAGATTAAGAAGATAGCAAGGTTTTGAGAGATGATTTAACACTGACATTTGGAATGATTAATAGCAGGTCAGCATTTCACCAGACTCGAGAAAAGACTTTGTACTGTATACATATTTAAACAAGTAGTGAAGTTATTATCTAAAGAGACTAAGAAGAAGATAAATCACAAAGAAATATGCCATTGTTGTGGAGTGCTATCATGCTCTTTAATTCTGAGCTCAGTACTTTTAAGCAGAGTGAAATTATTGTCCAAAGAAGACTTACTGTAGGTTTTTAACAAAATTTCTTTGGAAAGTTGTCATGGCAATAATTTTCCACCAGGTGGCAGTGGTGATCCACTTGGATGGGGAATGAGTACCACAGCTTAATTGACCACCAAAACACCCTTTGTCCCATCTCTCAGTGATGTAATGTAGGAATTTCACACAGTACAAATGAAATAAATAGGCTTAGCAGACATTTGTGGTGCCTCAAGTTTGGCTGTCTCTTTGCTCAGGCACAGTAAGATTAGTATTGGAGTCACCAGTAGAGACTATTTACACAGTGTGTTCGCCAATAATTAATACAAAACTGTTTTTACCCTGCACTGCCAGTAAATAAGAATCCAAGCCTGGCAGCCGTATTCCTTAGGCCATGGCTTGTTTTTCTAGGCTGACATTAGAGAGATTTTTCTGCTGCATTCTTCAAGGTTAAAGTGCACACTGTTTGGATGTTTCTTTTACTTAAAATATTTTGCTGCAGCATTTAAAATATTACAATTTTAAGATTGTTTTTAAGAGCATATACCCCAAAGTTAAAATAAATATATAATAATGGATTCCTCTTTCTGAAAAAGCTACAAGGAAATACCTGGGAAATGAATGAAGAAGTAGTTATTGATGCCTTCATAACATGATCTTGGTTATTGTGAGAACACAGTCTGACAAATGGGCTGCGTAGTGAGTCTCCTAAAATTGCATTATGTGATGATAGTCTTAGAACCTAAGATTATGTAATAACACCATTTTCCAAGTTGGATAATCTTTCCCATTGAGTAAACAGTAGAAGTCTTTGGCTACTTTTCTGAGTATACTTCTTGGATTTGTTCCATGCTGTATTTCTCTGAACTCCATGAATAAACATAGAAACATATGGAACTTCTTTCTTTCTCTTCAGAGTTTTCTTGGTACGGGATAGCCAGAGTAACCCAAAAACTTTTGTACTGTCAATGAGTCATGGACAAAAAGTAAAGCACTTTCAAATTATACCAGTAAGTAATTTGTGATTTCACATTCGTATATTAGAGATGATCTTAATGCATAAGCTTTTGGAAACTTTGGTTTTCTTTTGTTCCTTTTATTCAATATAATTTGGGAGTTTGTGCTTTGACTAGAGTTAAGTTTGGCAGAAATGGTTTTATGAGCCTGAATTAATATAAGAAATACAGGAATTGTAAAAATTAAATTTTCCTTTTTCCATGAAATATGATTTAGCAATATTGTTTAGACCCATGCCACCTATTGTTCAAAGGGCACTGAAGAATCTTTCTCCAGAATTCTACTAAACCAGTTTTTTTAATGTTAGTATAAAGCCCTTTCTCCTCTTCTCTCAGAAGCATTCATTTGTTGTTGTTTCTGTTTTGGACTGGGCTGTTTTCAGTCATTGTGGATAGAATTTAAGTACTCTGGAACTGGCAGGCATTCTTAGAACATGGAAGAAATTTCTGTGGCACACCTTGTTTTGGGATTTCTGAGGTTTCTGTGGGCAATCCCCGTATGTCCATCTTGTATGTGATGTGCATATTGGAACCAGGTAGCACAGAAAACATAAACCCACAGTCTATGTGCAGGAAGTTGTTATGCAAGATTGCTAAGTTTCTAGTGCTCCCTTTGAATTGCTTCCTTTTGCAATTATCCAAACTCTATACACACTATTTCCCCCTTTTTGTGATTATGTGGTCCATATCCCAAACAAGTATGAATTGTTTAATACCAGAAAACTTCCCTACCAAAATAAAAAAAAAGACAGCTGACATTGCATTAGCATAAAATATGATTTCTTCAGAATTAATTTTCTGATACAAATTATGTGAATGTTCATCTGTAATAGTATAAGTGAGGCACTAAATAGCTTTTAGGAAGGGAAATTAATTTTTGTAAGTGGGAGCACTGGGATCTTCAGTGAACTTTTACACGAAATAGTACCGATTTCTCGGTGTTCATTGATTCAAAATATTTGACCCATGGGAATGGAGCAGAACCCTGAGAGAACTCACAATAGAGAAAACAGAGCTGCACGGCTTAACCCAAAACACACGAGACTGGCTTTAAGAGGCAAGTTACCTGACAAAAAGAAGTAGACATAGCATGATATTCTTGTCCTCGTCCTTAGTTTTACGAAACACACAGTATATTCTACAGTTGAATCCCGTTGGCTTTTTAGGTGATTTGCTCTTTAAAAGCCTTGTGCCTGTCGCCTTTCCTCCCACAGGTGGAGGATGACGGTGCCCTGTTCCACACGCTTGATGATGGCCACACCAGGTTCACGGATCTCATCCAGCTGGTAGAATTCTATCAGCTCAACAAGGGCGTTCTTCCTTGCAAGTTGAAACATTACTGTTCTAGGATTGCTCTTTAGCCAAAACAGCAGTGACTTAACTATTGAAGAAAAATGATTCAAGGAGGGGGAAAAATGAAGGAAGAGAGAAAAACAAAGGAAGAGCGAAAATATCACAGTGACAAAAGTTATTCACCTAAGAGTTATGATACATAAGTTTGTCCATTGCAAATAAGCAAAGACGTGGATTGATAGTACGTTCATCATTGGAAATGTATTCATTACAATTAAACCTTAGGGAAAAATGATGTGGTGTGTTTTGCGTGATTCTAAATTATTATAAATATATGCACACCTTAGACATCTATGTGCTCATAGTCACAAAAGCACATTACAGATCTCAAACAGAACATGCAAAAAAGAAATCAAGGGCTCAGGCATTGGTATGGTGACACTTGCCTATCATCCCAGTACTAGGTAGGCAGAGACAATAGGATCAAATTCAAGGCTAGCTAGGATTACACAAAAGACCAAGGGCCAGGGATGTAGTTCAGTGATAGAGCATATGCCTGGGATGTAGTTCAGTGATAGAGCATGTGCCTAGAAGAGGCATGAGCATGTCCCTGGATTCAAGTCTGTGCACCATAAACAGGAAACAAAGAGAAATTGAGCTTTAAGAAGGATCTTTTACAAACCAAACCTCATTGCTTTTCAAAATTATAAGTACAAAAAAGATTGAGTTATCAATTAAATAAACTAAAACTTCTTAATAAAACTAAAAGCTATTGTGAATTACATATTTTTTATAATCATAATAACAAATCCTATCTTTGAAGTAGCAGGTAATCTTATTTAGAAGAAAATGGATTTTTTTCTAGATAAGTTATCAAATTACTAATTCTACTATAAAATCTACTGTTATATCTACTAATAACAGATTATTCATTGTGGCTTTTACATTTATGATTGGCCAGAAATATGCTTTTATGAAAATGATCAACATATAAAATAGATACATTTAATTCACAATGCCTTGTGACATATGACCAATCATGATGTGATCTTGTTACTTTAATGTGTCGCATTCACTTTACACTCTAAGGTAAGTGCACAGCAGTCTTCCTCTCTCATTGATTCAGTCAAAATAGATGAAATCAAAGAGTTGACATCTTTAAGGGTCCTGACAAGTAAATCCTGTTCTTCCCCATGTCTTCCTCCATTTCAGCTTCTCCATCCTAAAAACTTGATACAATAATCTTTTTTTTTAATCACCTCTCTATGACCCTCTGGGAAAATTTTGTTTTTTTTTTTCTTTTCAATTCCATAATGCATTGTTCCCATTGTGTGTGTGTGTGTGTGTGTGTGTGTGTGTGTGTGTGTGTAAGAGAGAGAGAGAGAGAGTGAGAGAGAAAGAGAGAGAGAGTATGCCCACGTGTGTATATGGGAGGGATAATCATTGTTCAAGAAAAAAAAGGAGAAACAAAACATCAGCCTAACATTAATATTGTAAACAAAACATCACCCATCTATTCCAGCTGATCTTCATAACAATATTATGACAAAGCTGGAACGATTTTTAATAATATTTCCATAATCAGTTTCAGATGGATAGGTGTCTATGTGGTGGAGATACAAAATATAGAAAACACTAATAAAATCAGTTATCATTGAAAAACAATCATTTATTGTAAATACTCAATTGACTTTTATAGTATAAGTCTGACTTCTAACACACCGAAACTTCAACTGAAGACATAGAAGGCCAGAACATGACCGTGGAGCAGCCAGAGAAATACACACCAACTCCACCTGCCTTCTCAGAGATGTACACACCAACTCCACCTGCCTTCTCAGAGATGTACACACCAACTCCACCTGCCTTCTCAGAGATGTACACACCAACTCCACCTGCCTTCTCAGAGGTATACACACCAACTCCACCTGACTTCTCAGAGATGTACACACCAACTCCATCTGACTTCTCAGAGATGTACACACCAACTCTACCTGCCTTCTCAGAGGTATACACAGCAACTCCACCTGACTTCTCAGAATGGGCCTCAGAAGCTCGGATTTATTTCCTGTTTATAAAAACATTTTGTGCTATGCCCTGGAATGCATGCTGTCATTTTAATGTTTCAGAGACAGTCTTCTAAATTGTAGTATTTTGAACATTAAACTCATAAATTGATCAATTTATTCTTGTCTTTGTGATATATGCCTCTAATTTCACTTATAATCAAAACTTCATATAGGGGGCAGGGATAACTTTGATCTTAAAACAAAAGATGAGGAAAACTATTACGAAAAGGTTGATGAAGGAAAATTCATTATTTTCTTGATTCTGTGTAAAAAGGGGTCTTACTTTCTGTGTATGAGTATGTGTGTGTGTGCGTGTATGTGTGTGTATTTAATGTTAAATACCACAGTATTTAAATGTGTTCCCCTAGCAATGCTAATTATCCTTGCATTGATTTCCATTTTGTTATTTTGTACCCACTCTGTACTCTCTCAGAAAGAAGGGATGTAGCAGAGCATGTAGCTCTTTTTTTATTTCCTTATATTAAAAGATGAAACAATATTCTGAGATATTTAGAAGATCTAATCAAATAAGATAAAATTATCAGGAGTGCTTTAACTCAGAATAATTATTTGTTTTACTGGATACATGTAGTAGCCTGTAGGCCTTGGCTTATTTGAGTAGATTAGATGGACATTTCTGTTTTAGCTGTGTTTCAGAGTGGTCAGTGTCAGTAAAACAGACTTTCACATCATCTCTGGCTCTTGAATACCATCAGCCACTCTACACCTGTAATGGGATTTCAGGTAATCATGTCAGACTATTACCTGGAACATAAAATCCCAAGTGAGGAATGCGTGGCTCTTGTACTTGTTAGAGCTTAGCTTTCCAACTTGTCTTTACTACTTACAAAAGGTGTTCACTGGACATTGGTGGCTCACACTTGTAATCCTAGCTACTCAACAGGCTATAATCTGAGGATCTCGGTTCAAAGCCAGACCAGGCAGGAAAGTCCATGAGACTTTTATCTTCACTTAGCCACTAAAAAGCCAGAAATAGAACTGTGACTCTAGTAGAGTTCCAGTCTTGGGCAAAAAACTGAAGAAACAGTGTCCAGGCCCAGAGTTTAAGTCCCTGTTTCAAATGCAATAAACAAAATCAAATAAATAATAAAATAGAATGAATAAAATGTCTGTATATTTCTTGGCATTCTTAAGGTGAAGCCTAGGGACTGGTTTCATGTCTTTAAATGTGCAAAAGTTTTTAAGACACTCAAACTAATCCTAGAGAGGCATAGATCTTAATAATGGAGCATGGAGGTGGAGTGCTCTGCTGTACTTGCTTGCTCTGTCTACTTGTGACTGTAAGTCCCCTAGTTTTCTGTTCATTGGGGAACAGAGAGGTTGATTCACCTTGTTGCAGCAGTAGCACACATGAAAATTTCCTCGAAACAGGGCTCTTGTAACATCTGCTGAACTTTCCCCGACACAATCCCTGTTGCCCACCACTTGTGGGATATATCTGCATGTGCTGGCCTGATTCCTGCCCTTTCATCCTCTGTGATGTCCAAGTGTGCTTGGAATTGCAGCACTGCTGATAATGCTTCTGACTGCATATTCCCCAGGCCACGAATTAAAGAGATTTGCCAAAAAAAATGTAAAAAAGAAAGAAAGGAACGGCCAAACTCTTGGACAAGCACATAATAATAATCACCCTTTTGCAGAAATTCGTCAAATGAATTTCTTCCCAGCACATGCCTTTGTTTCTGCAGTGGGATGTATCATGTGATCCAGTTCTTTGCCATAACAAAGATAAATAATGCACACTTTGAGCTCAACCTCATATAGTACACAAGGGCTTAGGAAGTAGACACCACCACCACTACCACCACCACCACCACCACCATCATTCATCATCATCATCATCATCATCATCATCATCCCTTACCTTGTCCCAACAGTGAAATGAAATTCATATAGAGTGCTTCTAGTGCATTTTCTACCATCTTAATACATATTCATATGGAGCTAGGTATTGTATGTTTAGGGCCTCCACTTCCCTGGAGCAGTCTTCTTTCCACATAATGCTGTTGCCGTGTTGACTCTGTTTGGCCTTCCTTCCAAATGCCTTTGGTTCAACCCTTCCTCTCAGGCTGCATTCATGGAAGCAGCCATGAGCACCTCACAAGCCCCGCCAAGTCATCCATTATAACTGTAAGCACACTTACTGTGGCCACCATGCCCGAGCCTCCAGTGCCCAGGCTTTTTGTTCACTACTTGATTAAAAAGATAAAGTGTGATGTGGGATTTCCACATTACCTGAACCCCTCTCTCCAAACTAAAAAGCCAGGAAATACAGAAAGTTGAGATTGCTTACTGTCCCAGGCTGGACTATGGGACCTGAGGCAATTATAGCTGGAAGGAAAGGAGAGAAACCTCTTCCTAGATGGTGAGTTCTCCTCTTAGAAAGCAGTAAACTCTTTCCAAGAAAATGTGGCCTTCCTCTGGCTATCATTCAGAAAGCCAGTTGTGTTCCCTTTGAGATCCTCTTGTAATGTTAGCAATGATTAGCTGAAAAGTTACTTTCTTGCCTTGTGTGCTTGCTGCATTCACTCCAGTGTGTATTGAATGCCTCGTATGTGAAAGGCACTTTTGGAGATCCAAAATTAAATAACAGAGCATAGATATATAAGTATTTATGCTGGAATACAGACTGGGTAAATGTTATACTATAAATATAAAGGCAGAGAGATATTGGCTACACTTGCTGAAAGATGAGTGGAATAAAGTGGATTCCTGGAAGGCCTGTTAGGCTCACAAAGATCTGGAGAAAGGAAAGTAGAATATCATCAAAGGGAGAGGCAATGCCAAACAGCAGAGAAAGGATGCAGACTACATTTAGGGATTCTTCCTAACTTGTTTGTAAGTGAAGTGCACAGAGAATTGTAACAGGAAACTTGTGGTAAGTAGGACTGGAAAGGCAAGCTCGTGATGCATTGGGGGAGGTTCAGTGCTAGCCAGAACAGGTTCTACTTGTTGGAGGTAAAGCCAGAGCCCAGTACTTCAGTGTTTTATCCCTTTACATTTTTATGTGAGTGACATTGTGGAT